TGTCATTAGAAAGTCTAAATATAGCAGCAGCTAGTTTAGTTTTTTATTATTTTAATTTTACTCTACTCGGTAACCCGTTTAACAACTCGTTTATCCTTCAAGTTTAAAAGATTTGTTTTTGTCTTGAATGCTCCAACTATCCAGCAGGACACAACCCATTCTCTAGAAAACCGGGTTCCATTTAAAATAAAATTAAAAAAAAAACAACCTCTAAAGACAATCAACCTGTTGCAGCCCACAGTGGACCTGTCACAGAAAACAAACTACCAAATAATGAGAACTGAGCACCAGATATCAAACACAATCCCCACAAACTTACCCCTCCCCACAAACTTATCCCTCCCCACAAACTTACCCCTCCCCACAAACTTACCCCTCCCTACAAACTTACCTAGCCCCACAAACTAAATTACTGGCTTATAACCCAACCTACACCCACAAACGACCCTATTCCCCAGAAAAACCTACTCCTATCAATGCGCCAACCTATTCCCCAGAAAACCTACTTCTACCATTGCGCCAACCCATTCTCCACAAAACATACTCCTACTATCCCACAAACGTACCTATTCCCCAGAAAACCCACTCAAACCTCCCACAAACCTACCTATTCCCTAGCAAACCCCCTCCCAAAATTAAACTGAATACAAAATCCCACCTTAGTTTTTGTCATGGCATATTGGATTTCTTCTGTCCTTAGAAGATGTTTTTCCGTCTCGACCTTCTGCCTCATGCTGGACAAGAAAACGTTCGTCAGTTGGGTTTATTTTACATGGTTATTTAATGTTAGTAACGATATTTGTTTCGTTTATTGTTTTGTTTCGTGAAATGTTGAGTTTTGAAGATGCTTCTTTTTTATTCAACTGTCATATCTTGTCTCACACCTGATACCCGAGTCTCACCTGTCATGCCGAGTCTCACCTGTCATGCCAGTCTCACCTGTCATGCCCGAGACTCACCTGTCATGCCCGAGTCTCACCCCTCATGCCCGAGTCTCACATGCCCGAGTCTCACCTCTCGACCAGGACATTTGCCGCCCTCTGCTCCTTCTCCTTCAGGTACATCTCGTTGTCCGCGTACTTGTACAGCCAGTGGGCCATGAACTCTATGGGGTCACGGGGCCTGACCTCCAGCACGTCCTTGAGACACTTGATCAGCGCGTGGCCCACGGCCTTGGCCACGTACGCGCTGTTGTGTCGCTCCTCGAAGTTGACGTACAGACTGTTGGATGACGTCACGGGCGACTGGTCCGACTCGGAGCCTCCGTGTGAGGACATCACGTGATCGAAGGGGTCAGACATCACGTGACCAGAGGGGTCAGACATCACGTGAACAGAGGGGTCAGGGAGCGAGTGATGAGAGAGGTCAGACAAGGCGCTGGTTGACATGGTCTGCGGGAAGAGAAATGGTATGGTAATCACAGGGTCAAAGGTCGTCAGGATTGTATTCCCTGTTTTAAACTTAAAAAAAAAAACTTTTTGAAAATTCTGGAAGCGACAAGAGATTGCCTTGGGTAAACGCTGTCTGAAGAATGACAATGTTGTGCTGGGGGGGGGGGGGGGGGAAGGACCCTTCTTACCCCCCCCCCCCTCCACTTACGCCAATGATCTAATCAGAATCATCAGGTAATCCAAGTCTGCCTGTCTTTTTATCTCAACCATGTTAGTGGTAGTTTTTTGTCTGGGGGAGGGGGGGGGGGGGAGGACTTGATATTTTCGGGGGGGGGGGGGGCGGACACTGGTAAAAGTAAATTTTTTCTATATACATTCCATTTCGTTCGGTGGAGGGGGGGGGGTAGACGCCCCCGCGAAGAGATGCCTGGAAGAAACTCCACAAAAATGTCGTCTCCGGGTCCAGAGTTGTCACATTTTGTTCTCGAATTCTCCGCATCTGTACTTTTAATTCATTAAAATAATAAAATTAATGACTTCTAGTATTTAAGAATCTATATATATAATTCTCTTCTGGGAGACGCTAGAAAACAAGCTGTAAACGCGCTCCAGAGGCGTATCCAGGTTTTCGTTGTAGGGGGAGCGAAAAGAGCAAAAAAAGGCGCAGAATTTTTAACACGTTCTATATACGTGTATTTTATATATATATATATATATATATATATATATATATATATATATATATATATATATATATATATATATATATAATTACTAGCTGTATGTCATTACTTCGCTATGATGTAAAATAAATTGAAAGTAGCACTCTGAAGAAATAAGAAATAACACACAATGTAGGCTGACAAAACAAAAAATGTATCAATTTAAGCAAAAAACAAACAAAATATACACACACAACCAAAAACAATGAAAGTAACACAATCTGTTTTGTAATTCTTGTAAAAAAAATTCTTACATAATAATTCCTGGGAAATTATTTAAGACAAGTGAAATAGGGGAAATAATCACTTTCTTAATATAAATATGTATATATCTACACATTTAATTATAATAGTCAAAACAAATAAATAATTACTATAGAATTTATTGAAATTGTTTAAAACTATTTGTTTTAACAAAATGTTTTTGTCTATAATCAGAATTAAATATATCGTCATCATAAATGCTAAAGTATTACAGCATAATGAAAGTTTTTGAAATCAGAGTTGGTATAAAACCACGCTTTTTATTTTAATAGTACTACATTCGAAATAACAGCCTAGATTTAACTAAATGTCGGTCATTTAGTTCAAATCATATGTTTTGTAATTAACTACTGCTTCTTTGTGTTCCTTAAAGATTATTTTTTTACATAGTGATAGGTATGGGTTAGATCACTATATTGCTCACACACCTTTTTACTGTCCAGTCACTTTAGGTCAATTAGCCAACCCAGTGTATACCTAGGTCAGGGGTCGGCAACCTTTCGAAGCGGAAGAGCCAAAAGTTACAATTTTCAAAATTTCCCTGGTTTTAAAGAGCCACTAAGATTGTTTTTATTTCAAGAATTTTATTTTTTGATTAAGGTTATTGGTATTTGTGCAAGGAGTTCGAGAGCCGCATCTTGACATCAAAAGAGCCGCATGCGGCTCGCGAGCCGCAGGTTGCCGACCCCTGACCTAGGTGTGACATTAATGTCGCTCTACACAATTGTGGTGGTGAGGTGGGGGGGGGGGGGGGAAGATAACCAACTCAGAGTGAACATGGCGTCAGTTTTTAGATGACTGTTCTAAACATACATATATATTATACATGTATACTGATTCAGAAATAGATTTAAATAAGTAGCAGTGGTATTATGACAATATTTTTTTTTTACAGAGGGGTCCATGTGGGAGGGGGGGGGGGGGGGGGGTTGTAACTGTTTCATATAATTTGTAATCGTATCACTATCGCCCAAACTGTAAGAATACTACTACTTCATCGTGATGACAATAACGTTGTTGACGTGTCAAAATTTCCCCACCGCTACGCAGCTTGCCCATAAGTAAATTTAAATAGAGGTGCCACATCAGTTGTATTTGTTTCTGTATTGTAATTTAAAAAAAAATTAATCACACGATTCAAACTGTATAGATGTGTGAAGTTTTATGTATAACATTTTCTAATGCAATTATTCGTAAGCAAATACATTATATAGTTGCCTTAAACTTAATACCCCTCTTGCCAAGTGTGGTACTACCTGTAGAGGATTTTTAAAAATTCCAATGCATCGTAATGGTTATTTTTAGAATGGCAAACTGATGCAGCTGTTAATACGTGTTGTAAACGTAGACAGTACTAGACTAGTACAATAATGCTTAATTGCTGCATGAAAAGAAATCTTGTGATTTACATAGATGTGCCGACCAAAAATATTTTTTTATCAAACATCATTGTTTAAAACTTTGAGTTTAAAAAGTTTCCAAAAAGGCGCCACTTTGCTGAAAATGGCCAGAGGGGGAGCGGCCGCTCCCCCTGCTCCCCCCTGCGTACGCTACTGACGCGCTCCCTACCACCCCCCACCCCTACATTGTCTGGTGAGCTGTGGTTCACTCTAAATGTTTACAAACAGAGCCGGGTTTAGTGACGACTATTAGGGGCAGATAATTTAGTTTGAAACGATTTTAAACGTAGGGGGGGGGGGGTAACTAAGTGGAGTTTACTTTAACGGAGGGGGGGGGGAAGGAGGGGGGGGGGTATCGTCCTTAACGAGCTACTTATAGTGTTTTAAAGAAATATTTTCAGTAGCAGCGTTGGTAGTGTCGAATTCACAAATTATGAATAACTGAAAAGTAGAAAAAACAACAACTAAATAGCGGCGTATGATATGCCACGGGTCGGCTCGTTTAACTTAATTCTTCTATGACAGGTGACCCAGAAAGAAATTAACAAAAACATGTTTTCCGTGCATTCTTTCAATCGTGTCCCCTCCTACCAAGTGCTATGATTTGAACGATACGAGTTCACGTTCTTTCTTGATTTTTTTTTTTTTTTTTTTACTTCGGTCACGTTGTCAGTCTGTTTGTCTGTCTACGTGTTTGTGGCAAATCTTGTACCTCAGCTTTGATCCACTTAGCAAAATGTGTCAGAGATTTCAAAAGCGATCACCTTTTTTTAAAGTTAAGATAGATATTTTTAAAATTTTAGTACATTTAAATCTTGTTTTTTAAGGAGTTTTTTGTTTATATTTTATTGAACACCAAGCAGCTCAACAACACAAGAATACTAACGTAACTGGCGGATTACTCTGGTCCGTATCGTTACACAGGCTAAGTCCAATAGATCGATTTCTCACAAATATAAATCCTATAGATCGATTTCTCACAAAAATAAGTTGGGTTGAATTGCTGAAAGTTTTGGAAATAGTTGTGTGTGCTACAGGATAAACATTGCGTGTTCATTAAAAATGCTGTAGGGTGCGGATTGAGCACGTTATAATTTAATTAAAATTGTAACGAAATGTAAGGGTTTTGTAGCGACTTCTTTCCCAATGACAACGCATGAGTAAGTCTGTTTCATTGTAATTCTATTAGTTCTTAAAATTGTATGTCCAAATTACTATATTCAACAACAAAATGGGAGTTAATTAACAAGACTAATTAGCTGCAATATCCAATCAGTCAGGTGAGCTGTGTAATGTATGCACGAATGTTTTCACACATGAGACGTGAGGACAGTCAAATAAAGGGCAGATAATTCTCGCCTAGAGTTACCGATCTTTGCAGTAAATATATTTTTTTTTAAAGTGATGGTTGTCAATACTTAAAAAACGGAATTAATAAATTTTATGTTCCTTTATAACTTAATTATTCAATTTCTCTTATATATTCACAATATCTACATAAAAAATAAATAAAAGCCTTTATAATGTTTTAGTGCAGTAAGAATAAGGGCACTATTATGATATGTGGTCCAGAAATCTTTTCACAATTTGCGACCATGTTTTAATATTACTGAAAATTACAACAATTTCTTTCTTTCTTATTTTTAGTGCATACAAACTTCTCGCTATTTAGTAGTGTATAGATAACAAGATGCCCTTGTAGTGCCCAGTAAGTTGATGCTATATGCCCTTTGTCACATCAGCTAGACGCAAAATGTCAAGAAATAAAGTGACAAAAACTATAAAAATGACAAGAAACATCAAAACGACAAAAAAACCAGATGTTTATTGGTATATTCACCTGAAAGGTTTGACAAAGGGTGTGGGCTGGGGGTGGGGGGCTGAGGGTAGGGGTGTGGAGACAGACATCACTGTCTGTCTAGCCCCACGTAAAGAAACAGAAAACACAAAGTCTGTCTCCTTAGACAGACATTCCATTTATCAGACAACATTCAAACTTATTACACTGGCCATACATGTCAGAATTTATTCCAATTATAAACGATGTGACCATTTATATATGTGGTAATCTGTTTTATACATAAACTGTGACGTCATATTTGTGATAATCTGTTTCAATTATAAACTATGTACATGATATTTATCTATATAAACATAACACATACTCTTTTTGCCAGTATTATACATTTCACAATATATAGTATCAATGATTTATGTGTAACTCATTTTTTTTAATAACACACATACAGTGAAAATACTTGAAAAAAAAAGCCAGTTCAGCACATTTCTCCAATTAACATATAAGGGGCGTTTTGATTGGTTAAAAGTATCCAATCAGATTGAATGTACCTTCTGATTGACCAACCTTATTTGAACAATCTCTACAACATTTGTGGGGCTCTGTATGGGTGAGAGAGGAAATCACAGTCAACTTGATGGAGTTAACATGTACACATCTTGTTAACAATGTACACATCTTGTTAACATGTACACATATTGTTAACATGTACACATCATGTTAACAACATACACATCATGTTAACAATGTACATATCTCGTTAACAACATACACATCTTGTTAACAATGTACACATCTTTTAACAATGTACACATCTTGTTAACAACATACACATCATGTTAACAATGTACACATCTTGTTATTGAATTTAGTTAACAAGTTTACCAGTATATATCATTATATTAACATTTTTAAACACGAGTACACCAAAAATAAAGAACGGAATGAAATGATGAAGTATTAGAAAAGGAGACGTGTCACAATAAGGGAGATAACTAGCTGAGTGAAATATATTTTAACATTTTTTAAAATTTTGGAACAAAACTAGTCTTGATTAAGAAAATTACCATACACTTTTCTTGTATGTTTAGATTATTGAAAGAAATGAAATAAAAAAAAAAAACAACAGGATTAATAACTGCCAGAATTAACCCTTATGTTAGTTGTTCATTAACTGTGGACTTACAAAAATATTATTCTGATAAATCAAACAAAATTAAACTTTACTGAGTTCATGGAGCTTTCAACATTTAGTTGTTAATGTTAAAAACACATTATATAACAAAGAAAAAAATAACAAAGAAAAAAATAACAAAACATGGAATAGTTTTCACATTGAAATAAATATTAAACTTGTTTCCAAAATGTCTCCCTTAGATTGACATCATCAGCTAAGGTCAAGGCAAGTATCACACCAAAGGTCAGGGTCAAGTTTCAGCAAAGGTTAAAGGTCAGAACACTGAGAAATATCTTTACAATAAGCACAAGGTGCACGTAGGGCAGCGAGGGCATAACAGATTTCACAACAAGAGGTGTATATACTGATATGAGGGGGGGGGGGAAACACTGGTGCGGGGGTGGGAGGAGGAAGGCACAGACAGAAAGTTGAAGAGGATGAAACAGCTTTTACTTAACAGATCACAACCTCAGGATACACTCATTAGGCTACCCTAATCAGGATACACTAATTAGGCTACCCTAATCAGGATACACTCATTAGGATACCCTAATCAACAGCGAGACAATCATTAGCACCTAACATATAGAAATATTCCAACATCTCAACTCAAATTTGGAATATACCTTGTTGCTCATTTGAAACATTTCTAACTTTTCTTTCATTCAAATGACACTATTGAACCACACAAAAGAAAATTAACTAATTAATGCACATGCTAACGAGGTATAGTTTCGGGCTGACTAAAAACTGGATGTGGAGTGGCTTTGTACAGAATAATAAAAGACATAAGGGGCATCATGCCAGAGGTGGCACCTAGGGGCATTATGCCAGAGGTGGCACTAGACTAAGGGCATAATGCCAGAGGTGGCACCTAGACTAGGGGCATCATGCCAGAGGTGGCACTAGACTAAGGGCATAATGCCAGAGGTGGCACCTAGACTAGGGGCATCATGCCAGAGGTGGCACTAGACTAAGGGCATAATGCCAGAGGTGGCACCTAGACTAGGGGCATCATGCCAGAGGTGGCGCCTAGACTAGGGGCATCATGCCAGAGGTGGCACCTAGGGGCATCATGCCAGAGGTGGCACCTAGACTAAGGGCATCATGCCAGAGGTGGCACTAGACTAAGGGCATCATGCCAGAGGTGGCACCTAGACTAAGGGCATCATGCCAGAGGTGGCGCCTAGGGGCATCATGCCAGAGGTGGCACTAGACTAAGGGCATAATGCCAGAGGTGGCACCTAGGGGCATCATGCCAGAGGTGGCACTAAAACAGTTGATGGTCCTAGGCATCAGGTCTCGAGAATCTGAGGTCTCTAGCACCTGATGCCTCTAACACCTGATGCCTCTAACACCTGATGCCTCTAACACCTGAGGTCTCTAGCACCTGATGCCTCTAACACCTGATGCCTCTAACACCTGAGGTCTCTAACACCTGATGCCTCTAACACCTGAGGTCTCTAACACCTGATGCCTCTAACACCTGATGTCTCTAACACCTGATGCCTCTAACACCTGAGGTCTCTAACACCTGATGCCTCTAACACCTGAGGTCTCTAACACCTGATGCCTCTAACACCTGATGCCTCTAACACCTGATGTCTCTAACACCTGAGGTCTCTAACACCTGAGGTCTCTAACACCTGATGCCTCTAACACCTGAGTGCTTTAGCACCAACACATCAGCAAGATGTCATCAAGCCATAAGATTATTGCACAGTTCCTGATAAATTCTACACTAAATTCTATTCTAAAGTCCAAACAAAACAACATAAAACTCTTGGCTCTAAGATCCATTGAATAAACATTATTCCAAATTAACTATTGCAAAATGTACACATTGGAAGTGAATTATGAAACAAATAACACAAACTACAACCCTAACAATAAAAAAGTAATTTGCTAACAAAACTCAATAATTAAATTAAATTACATTTTTGTGTTTCAAACTTTTTAATGACGATCAGTTTTTTGGCCGCTAAAACAGCTATGATTTGAATAAAAAAAGATCAAACTTGATAAAAAACAAAGACGAGGAATTTTAATTCAAAATGATCTTTTCAATCAATTTTAACTGGAACTTATTTTTTTAACATACATTTGTAGAATAAAAATGCAGGTCTGGTCAAGGGGATTGATTTAATTGTAACTGCTGTTTTCTAGTGACAGACAGACTATAGGCAGGGGACAGAACTGCACTGAGTGGACTGTCTAAGTGGTCACTCAAGTATCAGAGGACCGGTCAAGCCTGCAGACATTAACACTTTTGACATTTCAGCGCTAGACTTAATTTCTTCAGCGCTAGACTTAATTTCTTCAGCACTAGACTGAACTTCAACTTGTTGCTAATCTGACACATTCCAGTCCATGTATTGTCAATAAATGTGACAAGCCAACATTGTGACAAGTCAACATTGTGAAAGCCAACATTGTGACACGTCAACATTGTGACATGTCAACATTGTGACACATCAACATTGTGACATGTCAGCATCGTGACAAGTCAATATTTTGACAAGTCAACATTGTGACAAGTGGAGAAACTTCAGAATGGGGGGGGGGGGGTGTGTGGGAGAGGAGGCCGAAGATAATTTCAACAAATATAGACAACCAGTCTAATTATATCAAATCATTTTAAAGAATCCATCTTTAAATTCATCAAAATAAAAAAAATAGAAATATAAATAGGCAGGATCTAAAAACATACAAATATTTCATAAGTAGCAAAAAATAAATTAACTTATAACGACAAGTCATAATTGCTAGTTATTTATATAATGAAAACACAAATACTTTTGTTATAGGCAAACGATTGGGTGCTTCACATTACTGGGATGACAGTTAGGGGTAGGGCTACGACAACATAGGTGGGTTTCTGACTACACACCACTGACACACAGGTGTGTTTGTTGACAAGTGAGCCACGACTGACAACACATCATGTGTTGGTTCATAAGTGGGTCAGAACACACACTGTACTGGACAATATCACAAGAGCCAGTGGACAGTCTAGAGACTGGACATTTTTTAACAGGACATTTAACAGGACATTTTTTAACAGGACATTTTTTAACAGGACATTTTTTAACAGGACATTTAACAGGACATTTAGACACATATGCCACAAGGTGCCGTGAGCTGTACAGGTAATTAAGGGACAATACTAACGATGATTGAGTACAAGTGTAAATACTTTGAAATGAGTTGTATGCAAACAAGATGATGATGATAATGATGCAACAATTATTTCAGTTGAGACTTTCTCTTCTGTTCAGCTTTCTTCTTCTCCTTCTCCCTCTCTTTCTCCTCTTTTTTCTTCTGTTTTTCTTCCTTAGCCTCCAATTTCTTCCTATCCTCTTCCAGTTTTTTCCTATCTTTCTCCTCCCTCTTCCTCTCCTTCTCCCTCTGCTTGCTCGCCTTCTCTTCCTCTTTCATCATCTTTTTCTCTTCCTCCTCCTGTTCTTCCAGGTAGTGGGGGTTGTGTTTGAGGATCTCTTCCAGTCTGGGGGGAGAGAAAACAGACAGGTGTAAGAGGTGGTGGGGAGGTGGGGGGAGAGAAAACAGACAGGTGTGAGAGGTGGTGTGTGTGTGCGTGAGGGTGGAGCACACATCTAAAATTTTATGACACATCAGGGTCAAACAGCAGTGTTAACTGCTGACACAAAAGTCTCGAGTTCGGATCAAGGGCTTGACTTATAGAACTTTCCTGAGTCCACCCAGCTCTGATGGGTGCAAAAAATGTGAAACTCTACTTCATCTGCATTGATTAAATTTATAGCAAGGCAAGGTAAGGAGAAAATAAATATAACAGAGTTTCTAAAAGTAACCAAGGACTTTGAAGTGTGGGTGAAATGATCAGACCACCATGGCGACAGGACATATCAAATTTATTTGTGCATAGACTTGACAATTTTGTCAAATTATTTGTGCATTGACTTGACAATTTTGTTAAATTATTTGTGCATTGACTTGACAATTTTGTCAAAAGTATTTGTGCATTGACTTGACAATTTTGTCAAATTTATTTGTGCATTGACTTGACAATTTTGTCAAATTTATTTGTGCATTGCCTTGATAATTTTGTCAAATTTATTTGTGGACTAAAATCAGTGTGGTGTTCAGAGCGTGACCCCAGCATTTACTAAAGAACCAAAAAGTCAATACATTTCAGATAAAAGCAAAGTTCTATGAAAAAAATGGTTGTAGAAGGAAAAGCAGAATGATGAAGCTTTAATTAAAATAAGCCCAGGAAATTAAAAAAATAAGCGTTAAATTAAAATGTTTTTTAGCCAAGACATGCTACATTCTTTAACTTTGCACACGTTTGACTTAATTTATATTTAAAAAACAATGTTCACTTTAATAAAAGTTTTCTTTAAATTAAAAAGATATGATATGAAAGGTTAGAATATAATTGTCTGAAATTTAAATGCGTAGATCTGGAATAATATTTTGAACATCTAATAAGTGAGTACAATTTTTTAATTGCGAAGATCTGCATAATATTTTGAACATGTACTATGTGACTAAAATTTTAGAAAATTTGAAAAAGTTGACAGATAAAAAAAAAGACTTACCATGGTGTGAAATGGTTTCGTTCCTTAGGTACCCTAAGCTTGGACCAATGGCTATCGTCGCAGGGGGGAGGAGTGGTGGGAGGCAGCAGGGGAGGGGATATGCTCATGATGGATGTCATAACTGTGCCAGGATTGGAGGGTGGGAGGAGTGGGCGGAGAGAGGAGACAATTAATTTAATAGGGGAAACAATTCATTTGACATGGGAAATAATGCAAATAAAAGGGAGAACAATTTCATACTTAAACCTTAATTGGATAATTATTTTAAACATTATAATTTAAAAAATAAATCTTAATAAGATAATTATTTTACACATTATAATTTAAAAAATAAATCTTAATAAGATCATTATTTTAAAACATTATAATTTTAAAAACAAACAGAATTTAAAATGATATTTTGAAATAAATGTCTTTTAAAGTGTAATAATAGTTTAAACCCCATGTGATTTAAATGAAAAACTAAAAGATTAAATGATGCTAAAGTGTTTGATAAATGCTGTAAGGGTATTTGAGAGGAAACATCAGTTGTTGCAAACATTTCGTGGACTAAAAGAATGATTTGAAATTAAAAAAAAAACAACTGCCTGAATGAAGAACAAGCTGAAATAAGGATAATCTTTGGGCTGCCTCTACAGTGTGATAGAACCTCCTATAGTGATCATGCACATATTAGTTGAGGGGAAGTGCACAATTTTCTTATTTTAAAATTTAATTTAAAATTCCAAAAAGTTAAAATTCTGAGTGGTGGTAAGCAGAAGCCTTCATAGTTTCATGTGTGTGTTTGTGTATGAGTGAGTGTGTGTAGGGGGGGGGGAATTGCAATGTTGTCGAACTTTTCTTTTAGTCGAATAATCATATAAGGTTATTGACCAACGTTTGATGAGGGAACATTGCAAGTAATGTGGCGAAAAATCTCAATAATACAATTTAAAATGTTATAAGCACTAAAATCCACTAAAATAAGAGAAATAAGCTTTTAAAACCATTTAAAAAGTATAATAATGTTAATATATTTCTTTCCAGTTACAGAAATATTCTGATATATTATTAAAATCTAATTATGCTGAAAATTCTGATTTATCACATTTTTTTTTTGATAAAATGGTTTACCCCCATATAATGGGGACCCCATATAACATTTGCAAATGTTTGAGCTAAGTGAAATGTGCAGGGTTAAAGTGCTGTAGTTTGATGTTTGTTGTGGTGTGTCTTAGCCAGCTTTGGCTTGCAAGCTGAGTATCTTAGTGGTGTGCAAGGTCAAATAAAAAAAGGGGGGGGGGAGTGAAAGGGTTTCAGGTAAAGGAAAAATAGAGAAAAAAATATTAAACTTCAGTTAAATCAATACTAATTAACTTAACTAGTGTTACCACACTACTTAAGAAACTATAACCAAGGCTATTTTTGCAAGCTATCAACATGTGGAGATGTGAATTATTTGTAAGTTAATAAAAAGGTACTAGATCATGTTATGGAAAATGTAGAAGCAGGTTGTTATAAAAAAAATAAGGATAACTAGCCAAACAGAATGAAAACATATTGTTGATACAGATTTTTATAAAACTATCATTGCAAGAATAGTTTATGTGTAGTAGCCTATATGATGTGCTCTAAGACAAACTCCAAACCTTTAAGTTTTAGTGTTTAACATATCTATAGCTCTATGCCGAAACCTTTAAGTTTTAGTGTTTAACCTATCTATAGCTCTATGCCAAAACCTTTATGTTTTAGTGTTTAACCTATCTATAGCTCTATGCCAAAACCTTTAAGTTTTAGTGTTTAACCCATCTATAGCTCTATGCCGAAACCTTTAAGTTTTATTGTTTAACCCATCTATAGCTCTATGCCAAGACACAAACTATTTTGTTGACAAAATAAATCAACTACAACTAACAAGAAGCTCATAACTAAACCAGATATTCTATTTATAGTTGAACCCAAACCTTGTTTATAACATCTCCCCTGTACCACAGCCTAAACTAGAATCATCACCCAAAAGAATGCCGATATGCTAAACCAAACCCTAACACAGCTTCAATCATACCGTTAACATAAGCATATAGCAAAAACAAACCCTAACACAACTTCAATCATACTGTTAACATAAGCATATAGCAAAACCAAACCCTAACAAAAATTCAATCATACTGTTAACATAAGCATATAGCAAAACCAAACCCTAACTCAACTTCAATCATACTGTTAACATAAGCATATAGCAAAACCAAACCCTAACACAACTTCAATAATACTGTTAACACAATATTCAACCTGTATAAAAATCTATACCCTATTACTGACTAAAGCCACACTACTAGCTATAACCCTAACCGAAGAAGATTTACTGTGTAATGGCTTCAGGAATAGTTACATTGACTAAAGCCATACTACTAGCTATAACCCTAACCCAATGAAGCCATACCACTAGCTATAACCCTAACCCAATAAAGACTTACTGTGTTATGGCTTCAGGAATAGTTACATTGACCATGGGGACTAGAGAATTCAGTTCTTCAAGACTTCTAACAAACCGCAACTTGGAGGAAAACTTTGAACTAGAAGATAAATAAAACAATAATATAAAATCATTAATATAAACATTAAATCATTAATATAAACACCTTTAACAAACTTGGAAGAAAATTTTGAACAAGAGAAAAAACAATTATTAAACACAACAAATACATACATACATATATATATATCCCACATAATGTGGCCAACCACACAACTGGTGTCATGTCCTTATGAGGTGATGGGGTCAAGGACATTACCTTCCCATTGACTATCCTGACCTCTGGAAATGTTTACCTTGACCTCTATAAATGTTTACCCTGACCACTTGAAATGTTGACCCTGACCACTAGAAATGTTTACACTGACCACTAGAAATGTTTACCCTGACCTCTAGAAATATTTACCCTGAGAAATGTTTACCTTGACCTCTAGAAATGTTTACCTTTACCAAAATAAATGTTTACCCTGAGAAATGTTTACCTTGACCTCTAGAAATGTTTACCTTGACCTCTAGAAATGTTTACCTTTACCAAAATAAATGTTTACCCTGAGAAATGTTTACCTTGACCTCTAGAAATGTTTACCTTGACCACTAGAAATGTTTACCCTGACCTCTAGAAATGTTTACCTTGACCTCTAGAAATGTTTACCCTGAGAAATGTTAACCTTGACCTCTAGAAATGTTTACCTTGACCTCTAGAAATGTTTACCTTTACCAAAATAAATGTTTACCCTGAGAAATGTTTACCTTGACCTCTAGAAATGTTTACCTTGACCTCTAGAAATGTTTACCTTTACCAAAATAAATGTTTACCCTGAGAAATGTTTACCTTGACCTCTAGAAATGTTTACCCTGAGAAATGTTTACCTTGACCTCTAGAAATGTTTACCTTTACCAAAATAAATGTTTACCCTGAGAAATGTTTACCTTGACCTCTAGAAATGTTTACCCTGAGAAATGTTTACCTTGACCTCTAGAAATGTTTACCCTGAGAAATGTTTACCATGACCTCTAGAAATGTTTACCCTGAGAAATGTTTACCTTGACCTCTAGAAATGTTTACCTTGACCTCTAGAAATGTTTACCTTGACCTCTAGAAATGTTTACCTTGACCTCTAGAAATGTTAACCTTGACCTCTAGAAATGTTTACCCTGAGAAATGTTTACCTTGACCTCTAGAAATGTTTACCTTGACCACTAGAAATGTTTACCTTGACCTCTAGAAATGTTTACCATGACCGCTAGAAATGTTTACCTTATGAATGGTCTAATCATAGTCACAATTGTTTTCAGCCACAGTGTTGGGTGGACTAAGAAAAGACCTTTCAGGTTTTTCTTTAACCTGAAAAAAATGTCAACAATTTTAGATACTGGATGCATACTTACAAAATGTTATTGATCAAGTTTAGATACAACAGAATAGCTTTGATCAAGAGGTAACATCAATAGTTTATCAATAGACTGGTAACACTGTACTCTATCAATAGACAGGTACCAAAGACAGGTACCAGCATACCTTCTATCAATAGACTGGTAACAGCATGCCTTCTATCAAAAGGTAACATCACACCTTCTATCAAAAGCTAACAGCATACCTTTTATCAAAAGGTAACAGCATACCTTCTATCAAAAGGTAACATCACACCTTCTATCAAAAGGTAACAGCATACCTTCTATCAAAAGGTAACAGCATACCTTCTATCAATAGACTGGTAACAGCATACCTTCTATCAATAGACTGGTAACAGCATACCTTCTATCAATAGACTGGTAACAGCATACCTTCTATCAATAGACTGGTAACAGATCAAAAGGTAACAGCATACCTTCTATCAATAGACTGGTAACAGATCAAAAGGTAACAGCATACCTTCTATCAATAGACTGGTAACACCTCTTCAACCAGCCCAGGCCAGGCATCTGTCTGCGAGGTGTGGAGCCGTGGAAGTATATGATGACGTAGTCGTCTGCCACCAGCTCCTCCAGCGTGTAGATCACGTAGCTGGACACATAGAAACAACACGTCTATTTATAGCCAAAACACGTCTATTTATAGCCACATCATGTCTATTTATAGCCACAACACGTCTATTTATAGCCACAACATGTCTATTTATAGCTACAATACATCTATTTATAGTCACAACATGTCTATTTTTCATTGATTTGACTTATAACATCTTTCTCTAGCTCTTAACCCTTTGTCGGCCAATTATTTCAGTGTTGAGTTATTTTATTTTCACTTTAAAAATAAAATAAGAAAATATTCCTCATGAATTGAAGAGAAAGAATTGAGTATAATTATCTTGTATGAAGGTTGAAATGTGTAAGACTTTGATCTGATGTTAATGTAGATCATTTGGTTTATCAGATCTTTTATGTAACATGTGATGTACCCAGACTACATGATCCACATTCCTGATACAAATACAATCCATTTATTGATTTTTAGATCTAGATCAGCAGAAACAAAACAATTAAATTTAAAATTGTTGAATGAATATTTGCACCAAATAGTCACTACAGAATCACATTTAAAGCAAAAAACCTGAAAAACTTGCTGAGGTAAAGAAGAAAAACTTGCTGAGGTAAAGAAGAAAAACTTGCTGAGGTAAAGAAGAAAAACTTGCTGAGGTAAAGAAGAAAAACTTGCTGAGGTAAAGAAGAAAAACTTGCTGAGGTAAAGAAGAAAAACTTGCTGAGGTAAAAGTAAAAATGCTGAGGTGAACTTACTGAAAGAGGTGGTTCATGATGTAGGTGTAGTCCTCCCTCCTACGGCTAGGTAGATGGCAGCCATAGAACACAATGATGGCGTTTAGACCTTCAGCGTAGTAGCCTGGTGGATGTGGAGGGTTTAATGTTAGGGTGGGTTGGGTGGGTGGGTGGGTGGGGTTTAATGTTAGGGTTGGTCTGGTGGATGTAGAGGGTTTAATGTTAGGGTTGGTCTGGTGGATGTGGAGGGTTTAATGTTAGGGTTGGTCTGGTGGGTGGGGTTTAATGTTAGGGTTGGCTGGGTGGGTGGGGTTTAATGTTAGGGTTGGTTGAGTGGGTGGGGGGTTAATGTTAGGGTTGGTCTGGTGGATGTGGAGGGTTTAATGTTAGGGTTGGTTGGGTGGGTGGGTGGGTGGGGTTTAATGTTAGGGTTGGTCTGGTGGATGTAGAGGGTTTAATGTTAGGGTTGGTCTGGTGGGTGGGGTTTAATGTTAGGGTTGGCTGGGTGGGTGGGGTTTAATGTTAGGGTTGGTTGAGTGGGTGGGGGGTTAATGTTAGGGTTGGTCTGGTGGATGTGGAGGGTTTAATGTTAGGGTTGGTTGCATGGGTGGGGTTTAATGTTAGGGTTGGTTGGGTGGGTGGGGTTTAATGTTAGGGTTGGTCTGGTGGGTTTAATGTTAGGCTTGGGCTGGTGGATGGGTGGGGTTTAATGTTAGGGTTGGTTGGGTGGGGTTTTATGTTTGGGTGGGTCTGGGTGGGTGGGTGAGGTTAAATGTTAGGGTGGGAGCTTGGGTTAGCCTATGTGGATGTGTGGGGTTTAAAGTTTAGTGCTACTACAAAATTTAACATCATTATAGAACCTTGAAAAAGGTTCTAATTATTCAGACTTGATGATACAAGGGGGGGGGGGGTGCGTGGTTGAGTAGTTTGTAGGACATTTGATGTTATAAAAACTTTTATAACACTAGTTTCTAGTGACCCAAATCACATGAAGAACAAAACCTCCCCTACCCCCTTGTGACATTCTTGTAAAACCTCCCCTACCCCCATGTGACAAAACCTCCCCTACCCCCACATGACAAAACCTCCCCTACCCCCATGCGACAAACCCACTCCTACCCCCATGTGACAAAACCTCCCCTACCCCCATGCGACAGAACCTCCCTTTCGCCCATGTGACATTCTTGTAAAACCTCCCCTACCCCCATGTGACAACACCTCCCCTAGTGACAGAGCCTCCCCTACCCCCATGTGACATTCTTGTAAAACCTCCCCTACCCCCATGTGACAGAGCTTCCCCTACCCCCATGTGACATTCTTGTAAAACCTCCCCTACCCCCATGTGACAACTCCTCCCCTACCCCCTTGTGACAAAACCTCCCCTACCCCCATGTGACAGAACCTCCCCTACCCCCATGTGACAACACCTCCCCTACCCCCATGTGACAGAACCTCCCCTACCCCCATGTGACAGAACCTCCCCTAGTGATAGAACCTCCCCTACCCCCATGTGACAGAACCTCCCCTACCCCCATGTGACAGAACCTCCCCTACCCCCATGTGACAGAACCTCCCCTACCCCCATGTGACAACACCTCCCCTACCCCCATGTGACAGAACCTCCCCTACCCCCATGTGACAGAACCTCCCCTAGTGACAACACCTCCCCTACCCCCATGTGACAAAACCTCCCCTACCCCCATGTGACAGAACCTCCCCTACCCCCATGTGACAAAACCTCCCCTACCCCCATGTGACAACCTCCCCTACCCCCATGTGACAGAACCTCCCCTACCCCCATGTGACAGAACCTCCCCTACCCCCATGTGACAACACCTCCCCTACCCCCATGTGACAGAACCTCCCCTACCCCCATGTGACAGGACGTTCTTGTAGGGTTCCACAGCCTGCATGTCAATGTTGAAGTCCACACCAGACACAGACACGCGCTTCCACCGCTGGTGACCTTCACCTTGTGTGCCTTGGGTTAGGGTGGTGTCTAGACCAGGTCGGGGAGGTGTTTTGACTGGCGTGTCATCTGAAGCAAGACAATGACACAAGTTGGGTCAGTTCATTTATTCTTTTTGACATATGGATTTGAAAAAAAATTTACTACTAACATTTGTGATTTGTAAAAACAGCAAAGGCTAGTTAACTAGTTGTGTGCTTGAATCAAGTCTTGAAGACCTTTTGTCATTGTAAAAACAACCACTGTTTAAAAAATAATTTTTTTATCCTACAGCTGATTCTAAAATTTAGGAAATTTTGGCACAACCATGCATAAAACAGCAGAAAAGATGGAAAAAAAATCCATTTATTTAACATCAATTAACAACAAGAGGTCTGTATGAGAGACAGCCAATCAGAATCATTGTTACATCAAACTGTATTATGTACATCCAAGTAACCAATCAGAACAAATGTTACATGAGCATGACAGGAAGTTGACAACAATGAAAAACAACACAAAATAGCAACAAGTGCCATAGATGACAACAAGCAAACAGTTCAACACATCCAAGCCTGGCTCAAATAGATCTTGTCAACAACAGATTGGTCCACCACAAGACTTTATCTCCTCAAGTTACAAGGGGCATAAATAAAAAAAATTGGCTGGATTTACAGGTCTATTAGATGGAGGGCTATAATATGTATTTTATGTACAGGGACACAACTCTGCTATAATAAAGTAAAGGGATTCAACTCTTTCAACTGGAGTGGAAGTTAAAAGGGTATTTTCTCTAAGAAATATTGAACCTACGTATGATTGAGGGGAGAATCTATGCAGTAGTGGTAAGGATGCAATACTCATCACTGATCAGTGCTAACTTAGTTGGATACATTTTTAAATAAACTGTAAATATTTTCCTCTGACTACAATAGATCTTATTCATAACAAGAAAAATATCATTTTTTTTATTTACACCAATAGTAAAACACAGATAATAAACTTACACTTAACCATTTTTTAAACAAATACAACAATATGCATTTGGTTATTCTGATTTGTAAATTATTAAATTATGGTCAGGGATTTAGATATTTTTTCCAGCTGCTCTAATATATCGATAATAAAAACAAAGATAATCAAGCAATTAAGTCATCCCAACTAATATGAACAACCAACATCCACTACCAACATACACAGCCAACGTATATTTGAGATAAGAAAAACACAACAATAAAAAATTTGCTTAACGTATTAATGGTAAAAAAGTGCATGGTTAAAGAAATAAAAATGTAAATGTTTGATTGCATATAATCAAGTCTAATGACTATTTCTCAGTTAGCCAGTAGTTACACCAGCATTCTACGGCTACAAAGCCTGTACTTAAACTTTGTGTTCATTTTAGCTTATTATTTTGGGTCACAATTTTGTTCTACCTAATAAATAAAGTGTTCAAATTATTTTCCAATGTCAAGTTTAAAAAAATCAGCTGAGCAAAATTTACAACAAAATCATGCTTTAAGTTTACTTTTTAAAATCAAGAAAATAAACCCTTTATTTTACAATTTTAAATGGAAATAAATAAATGCAATATTTAAAAAAAAAAGGAATTTTCAAAATTAACAGTAAAGCGAGTTAGCAGAAGACGAAACATTTTGTATCTTAACTTACAAGCACGCTTTTTTCTTAGCCAATTATTTCTTTGAAAAAAATTAATTAAAAATCAAGCAAAAACAAATTTATGGAAAATGTTTTTCATGGCATGCATTAGAAAGCCAGAAGACAAATTCATTTTCTCCATCCAAATTCTGAAAGAGTTGTCTAACCTGGAACACACCAAACTGACAACAGAAAAACTGAAAGAACTAATAGAACACTCATGCCAACTAGTTACCTCTATGGTGTAGGAGTTCTCTCCCTGTGAACATGTCAAACACATTCAGCTATAGACTATAAAAAATGGCAAGGGAAGTAACCACAAGGGAGGCTACTTTAAATAAATCCTCCAGATCTCAAAATTAAAAAATGACATTAGAATTTGAGATCATGAAAGCTATTGCACAAAAAAGACAAATTGTCTGTTGTAACAATTTAAAATATAAGATCTATTCTTCCTAAATATCATAGAGTCAAAATATGAATAAGATCTATTGTTTATAACTATTTCAAAACCAAAATTTTTTGAGATCTATTGTCTATAACTATCCCAAAATTAAAATATGAAAAAAAAAAATTGTTCCTAACCAAAAAATGCCTTTACTTCTTTAATGGGTGTTAAAATAGCAAAATTACAGAAAAAAATGGACAAGTAGGCAACAATTAGGCAACCTAGATACATAAATTATTTGAAATGGTTCACTGCCCAATCTGACATTAAATATATCTACATTAAGCTATGTAGGTCACTGCTGACCAACTAACTGTTAAGTGCAATAAATCAAGTTAGCTGTAGAGAACCTATGATAAGTAAATTATTGATTGGCCATGTTTTCAGCTTCCAATTGTTACGTTAAAGAAAAGCAAAGAGTGTTTCAATTCTGTGTGTTAGGAATTTACTTGGGATTATACTGGGATAACCATGCTTTATGTGGCAAGGTAGAAATGTCACCCTAATCCTAGGGATAATCCAAACCCAAAACTATCGTAGTTAATCCAAAATCCTCAGGACAACTTAGCCCCTACGAAAGTGACAAGTTCATTCTGACCAAACAACCCAAACAGAAAAAAAAGAGCTGATATATGTTTGTACTATATGATATAGACAATATACAGACAACAGGAGTCAGCACAAGTACCTTGGCACTAAAGCATTAAGAAAACCAGAAAGTTTACAAAAACTCTGGATTCTAATCTCAAGGGAAACAACCAAAACAATTCCCCGCTCAAGGGAGAAAACCATGACTTACTTTCCCATTCCAGATCCCCAGTCTCACTTTCATTGTCTGGTTCCTCATCCTCGTCCTCTCCCTCCTGGTCTACCCCCTCATCATCATCAGCTGCGATGGCTTGGAGGAACGAGGAGTCAGGAACAATTTTCTTCCGGAGAGAATCCATTGGTGGGGCGTCTGGAATATGGAGAAAAAAATTAGGGAACATCAAAACTAATCGTAACTTATTAAAATCTCACACCATACAACATGTACTGACCTAAACCTCCCTCCCCTCCACCTCTACTGACCTAAACCTCCCTGTACTGACCTAAACCTCCCTGTACTGACCTAAACCTCCCTGTACTGACCTAAACCTCCCTGTACTGACCTAAACCTCCCTGTACTGACCTAAACCTCCCTGTACTGACCTAAACCTCCCTGTACTGACCTAAACACTGACCTAAACCTCCCTGTCCTGACCTAAACCTCCCTGTACTGACCTAAACCTCCCTGTACTGACCTAAACCTCCCTGTACTGACCTAAACCTCCCTGTACTGACCTAAACCTCCCTGTACTGACCTAAACACTGACCTAAACCTCCCTGTCCTGACCTAAACCTCCCTGTACTGACCTAAACCTCCCTGTACTGACCTAAACCTCCCTGTACTGACCTAAACCTCCCTGTACTGACCTAAACCTCCCTGTACTGACCTAAACCTCCCTGTACTGACCTAAACCTCCCTGTACTGACCTAAACCTCCCTGTACTGACCTAAACCTCCCTGTACTGACCTAAACCTCCCTGTACTGACCTAAACCTCCCTGTACAGCCACCTCCTCTATCTCGTCATCTTGCCACTCCTCTGTATAGACGGCGCCCTGGAGATATAAACATCAAGTGTGACAAGTCTGGTTTATATCAGGTGTGACAAATCTGGTTTATATCAGGTGTGACAAGTCTGGTTTATATCAGGTGTAACAAATCTAGTTTATATCAGGTGTGACAAATCTGGTTTATATCAGGTGTGACAAATCTAGTTTATATCAGGTGTGACAAATCTGGTTTATATCAGGTGTGACAAATCTAGTTTATATCAGGTGTGACAAGTCTAGTTTATATCAGGTGTAACAAGTCTAGTTTATATCAGGTGTGACAAGTCTAGTTTATATCAGGTGTAACAAATCTAGTTTATATCAGGTGTGACAAATGTTTATATCAGGTGTGACAAGTCTAGTTTATATCAGGTGTGACAAGTCTAGTTTATATCAGGTGTGACAAATGTTTATATCAGGTGTGTCAAATCTAGTTTATATCAGGTGTGTCAAATCTAGTTTATATCAGGTGTGAGAAATCTAGTTTATATCAGGTGTAACAAATCTAGTTTATATCAGGTGTGACAAATGTTTATATCAGGTGTAACAAATCTAGTTTATATCAGGTGTAACAAATCTAGTTTATATCAGGTGTAACAAATCTAGTTTATATCAAATCTAGTTTATATCAGGTGTGACAAATCTAGTTTATATCAGGTGTGACAAATCTAGTTTATATCAGGTGTAACAAATCTAGTTTATATCAGGTGTAACAAATCTAGTTTATATCAGGTGTAACAAATCTAGTTTATATCAGGTGTGACAAATCTAGTTTATATCAGGTGTAAGAAATCTAGTTTATATCAAATCTAGTTTATATCAGGTGTGACAAATCTAGTTTATATCAGGTGTAACAAATCTAGTTTATATCAGGTGTGACAAATCTAGTTTATATCAGGTGTGACAAGTCTAGTTTATATCAGGTGTGACAAGTCTAGTTTATATCAGGTGTGACAAATGTAGTTTATATCAAGTGTTACAAATTCAGTTTATATCAGTATTGAAAACTATATTAGTTGTAACAAATATCTTTTAGATGGCATTTGGGAGAGATAATTACTTGAGATTTGTTATTTCAGCAGAGGTTAATCCACATAATCTGAGGTTAATCCACATAATCTGAGGTTAATCCATATAAGCTGAAGTTAAACCCGATAATTTGTGGTTAGCCACTATCAAAGAACTAAATCATATAACAAAAACATTTCCTATACATACAAGCAAATATTTAAAATTTTTTGAATCTCGGGGCCTTTCAAACAATTTCTCATCAAAGAGGTTTAAAGATGTAATTTTTAAAGTGACAAACTATCGACATATTATGGGAAATTTGGAAAAACAACCCTAATCAGATGTTCTATATTAGTTCAAACATAATCTGATAAGGTATTCCTATCTAATTATTTTAACACTTTCCAAATGTTACAAAGTACTTACTTTATGAATGTAATAATGTCTCTCAGATTATTTTTAATCACAACCCTAATCCGGGATAATCTTACAAAATTTCTTTTCCTATCCCTAATGTTTTAAACATTTACTGACTTCTAGACAGTGATGCAAATATCATGTCCTGTATGCACACACCTATATTTTGACCAGATATATCACACTTCACACAGCATACACACACTTATCTTTTGACCAGATACATCACACACACACTACACACTGCGTACACACTTATATTTTGAGCAGAATGTAAATCTGATTGATTTTTTCACTAGATAACTTGTCAATGTTCAAGTGATTGTGAAGTGTTATCAGATGTCATTGGGTCTTCCCTCTCGTAGCTGTGTGTGTGTGTGTGTGTGTGTGTGTGTGTGTGTGCGTGTGTGACTCACCACAACAGTATGTGTGACTTAGTTCAATATGGCCAGATGCTATGTGTATGTGTGACTTAGTTCAATATGGCCAGATGCTATGTGTATGTGTGACTTAGTTCAATATGGCCAGATGCTATGTGTATGTGTGACTTAGTTCAATATGGCCAGATGCTGTGTATGTGTGACTTAGTTCAATATGGCCAGATGCTATGTGTATGTGTGACTTAGTTCAATATGGCCAGATGCTATGTGTATGTGTGACTTAGTTCAATATGGCCAGATGCTATGTGTATGTGTGACTTAGTTCAATATGGCCAGATGCTATGTGTATGTGTGACTTAGTTCAACATGGCCAGATGCTATGTGTATGTGTGACTTAGTTCAATATGGCCAGATGCTATGTGTATGTGTGACTTAGTTCAATATGGCCAGATGCTATGTGTATATGTGACTTAGTTCAATATGGCCAGATGCTATGTGTATGTGTGACTTAGTTCAATATGGCCAGATGCTATGTGTATGTGTGACTTAGTTCAATATGGCCAGATGCTAGTCACACAATGAGATCCAAACAATACCACAAGCCAACAGATTGTGGATACACACCAGGTTTATCCAAGCATATCCACACGGATAACAACATTGGATAGGCCACATTTTGTTGGGAATGAGTTGATAGAAATCTAGTCAAAATGTTTACATTCTTCTATGTAACACAAATTCTTCTATGTAACACAAATGTTTACATTCTTCTATGCAACACAAATTATAAATCAATAGAAAAACATTGTTTTAAAAATGTGCTACTTCTGACCATACACAAAACAATCACAACTTACTTTTTGTTTTAAATTCACACTTAACGCAAAAAAGCAGCAAATGTGTGATAAAAGTTAATAATGATGTTTTTATACAACTGAAAGGTTATGAATAGTTATTTATAACAGCTATGCATGAATTGACTTAAGGTCCCAGATAAAAGAATTGCTCTAGTGCTCCAGATTTATCCCAGACCAACACACAGATATCCCAACACACCACAATCATACCAGGATTCAATGTTGTAAACCTATCTTTAACAGTATCAGCAGTAAAAAAATTTAACAGAGAAATAATGGGATAGAAAGCAAGCTAACAGGCATGCACAAACTAGGGACAACTTCTCATGTTGGGTAAGATTTAATCAAACCTTTCTTGGCATCATTGTTTCATTGTATTTTGTCAAGCTAAATTTTGTAGTTGGTGTAAGTTGTCATAGAATGTATGACAACAAAATTGGGTACAATTACCAGAGCTAACATAATGTTGAGATGTGATTTACCTAGGTCTGCCATGACTGAGTCACTCTAACAAGATCCCTCATTAAATAGTGAAAATGTCTTAAGGAATGGTGAGGTAGAATTATGGGGTAACAAGGTTATCAGGGGCATTAGTAAAAGCAGGGTGGTGTAGTAGGCAGTAACAAGCACAAAATTACAATCCAAATCCATGGTTACAATTACAATTAAATATACACTGAACAATAAATTAAAAGAAAATTAAAGTATGATATACTTTAGTTTTAAATATTTCCATTGATTATGAAATATCAGGCTAGTAAAAAAAATTTGAATGTAATTTTAGTACGTATGGGACAGAAGCAAAGTGGTGCCACTAACCTTTATAGAGCCCAGTGATGTATTCCGCGCATGGTGGCGGATTGTGTTGAGTGGATCGCTGGTGGCTGGTACAAGCGGACTGACATGCACTGGCGGCTGGGTGGGGTTAGAGGTTATCACATGAGGTTCAAGGTTATTTACACTGGAGGCCAAGGGGGTTTGAGCAGGGGGGAAAACAGAGGTCAAGCTAGGGTCAGAGGTTACGGGCACAGCAGAGGGAGGTGATGAAGATGAGTTGTTGTATTCTAGTGAAGTGGGGTCATGATAGTGGTTAGACAGCACAGGCTGGTGAGCAGGGGAGGGGAGGGCAGCACCTAGCAAGCTTTGGTCAGCTGTGGATATGGTTTCCTCAGCCGACTGGATGAGTTCTCCCACCTGACTCTGCTGCGCTGGGTGACGCGGCTCTCCCAGCTCCGACCCTCTGGCAGACGGAGTCCTCCCTGAGCTCTCCCCATCCTCACTGGCGATGCTGATGCGGCCTACCGTGGTGTTCCACACCTCCGCCCGACTCCCATGCTCCTCTCCGTTGTGTCTCAGATCTGATTTTAAAGCGGCGCTGGCAGACGAGAAATTTGGAAGGTCATCCTCCTCCTCGTCATCAGCCCCATCGGGGGGTGAGGATGTAGAATCTTGGGTATACAAAGGTGGGGGAGGTGACCTAAGGGATGATCTAGTGGACAACTGAACGTTAAAGTCCCCCACTTCATCGTCAAAGTCTTCAGAAAAACTCACTCGGATTCGTTTCTTTGTTTTGGCCGCGCTGCGTTTCACGGCCTCTAAAGTCTCATTCTTTAGCTCAAAAGGAACCTCCGGCACCGTATCCTCCTGTATCCTATCCTCTGGAATGACCTCATCAACAAAACGCTCATCAAAAGCCTCTTCACCTATCCGCCTCCGGTAACCCTCTTCAATACTCTCCTCATCCAGCTCTATATCCTCAGAGTCCTCCCTGTTGAGCCCCTCCTCTCCACTGGCTTTTCTAAAGCTCTCCCCCTCCACCACCTCCCTATCTGCGTCTGTCATCTTAGTGAAAGACGCATCAATGATATCCAAGTTTCCCTGCAGCGGATCCATGCTCGGCAAGTAATCCGTTTCCAAGTCTTCTGGTTTCACACTCACATCCGAATCATCCATCCGTGAGGATCTTCTTGAAGAGTTATCCTCTCTTGAAAAACGCCGTGTTGGAAAATCATCAGATTTGGAGAATTTTCTCCCAGGGAATGAGTAGCTAGCCTCTTCTTCCTCGGCGCTGATAAGCTCAGTGGAAGGCTTTCTCTCAGGGAAACTGGTGAGCACTTCATCTTCAACAATAGTAAAAGGTGAGTCGTAGTCCTTGGGCTTGGATCTGTCAGAGGAGGAGGAGCAGTTGGCATCTAAGGCTGCACGTCTCTCAGCAGACTCTTCCAGGAGGGCTTCAATGGGAACTCTGGCGGCGCTCTCGTTGGAGTCCCCCCACTTGACTCTTCTAGAAACTTCCTCGTCTCTCTTGCCCACGTAGGGCTTGGGTTCCATCTCCATGGTCTCTGGGTTGAAGTTGTTCAAGACGTTCTGGATCAGCTCGTTGGCGATCTCAAAGGCCAGTTCATTGAGTGCCAGATCAGTCAGCTGCTGGTCACAGCTGTCAGCTCCTGCGTGCTCAGACACATGGGGGTCAAGGCCATTCACCAGGGGAATCTCTGGGGCGTCATGCTGCTCATCAGGTTCTTCCTCAAAGTTATCCGCAGTGAGCAAGGCGTCATCCACGGGGGTGAAGTCGTCATCCGAGTGTCTAAACCCTTCATTCTCATACTCTTCTTCACTCTTGTTGTCGTTTCTGTTATCAACCTTGTAGCTGATGTCTTCTTCTTCATCTTCTTCCTCACTCTTGTCATTTGTGTAGCTGACATCTTCCTCCTCCTCTTCATGGTCTGCAAAGTTGACGATTGTGGTGACATCCCACTTTAACCTCCCCCCTCGCCCAGATGCCTCCCTCTCTGCCTGTCTTTTACTGGCTTGTATAGCAGCCGCCACGCTCTGTGCCACCAGGCTCTCTGCGGCCTGGAAGAAGGCATGGTCCTCCACGCTGCGTAGTTGGCTCTCCTCCACAGGAGAGAAGAGCTCCTTGTCGCCTGGGAAACCATTGTGAGCAACATCCCCATCATCAGCGCTTGTGGCCACCTGCTCAGCAAAGGTGATCCCTTTAGGTGGGGAATCTGTAAAGTACACCCCGGTTTTCTTGGTTTCAGAGGCAGCTAAGGTTGTGTCATCCAGCTTGACAAAGACATCAGAATCTGCCGTGTCCTTACGGCTGAGCATGGCGATCTCGTTTCTCATCAACCCCGCCAGATTCAACGCCACGACATTGTCAGAAGGCGTGCCGACGTCAGTGCTGATGCTCATGAGAGACTCGACGTCGGACATGGTGTTCTGGCTGTCAGACTGACTACTAGAGTGCCTGGCCTGCCGGGTGGGGTTCTGTGGCACTGCGTTCAGGTTGATGTTCTCTTCATCTCTGCTGCCGCCTCCGCTGCCTGCAAATTGGCGCTTGGTGGAATGTTCTACGGAGAGTCTCTCCGCAACTTCATTCAAATCTGGTAAACGGTTCCTGGAATCTAGAAGATGTAAATTATCCTTGTAACTATTCTGTGGGGTGAAGGGCTGGGGACTGTCTAAACTTGTACACTTGGAGCCTCTGACAGCCACATCTGGACTACGGCAGCCTCCACTGTCGTCACTGCCATGACTGTTTCGGCTGACACGGCCTGATGTGGCGCTGGAGCCGTACATGGCCGACTGCTTGGCCTTGATCTTGGCCACCATTTCAGCGTTGTTCATACTGGGGAGGTTGTTCCAGGCATACGAGTCAAAGCTCCCCTCCACGTAGCTGTTCTGTGGCGTGTACGGGACCTGCGGATCCATCGCTGCCCGTAGAGGTAGGGGCTGGGACGCTTTGGGTGACGTAGGTGCGGCAGGCTCGTCAGAGTTTGGGCCCACATCCACTCCGCTGGTGGAGCCGTCAAGAGAATCCACCAACCACTCAAACTGAGAGCGCTTTTCATTGACCCTGTCCATAATGTCCGAGTTGGTCAGCTTTGGCAGCTGGTAATCTGAGGAGCTGTAGCTGAAGCCGGAGCTCAGGTCGATGTAGCTGTTCTGTGGGACAGCAGGGGAGATGAGGGACCCCCCGCCCCCGCTGCTGCCCTCCCCAGCCACACACAAGCCATCCAGTCCATCATCCTCCTCAAACATGTCCCCCTTGTTTCGCCGACTGCCCCCATGTCCACCTAATGCTGCCTTCTTGGCCTGAATCCTCTGGACCATCTCAGAACTGTTAAAACTGGGGAGCTGCGTTTCTTTATAATAAACAGCCCCGGAGGGTTCCATGTAGCTGTTGGGAGGGGTGTCAGGATAACTGGGCACCTTTGACCCCTGCCCTGAGGCTTGTCCTGAGGCAGGCATAGAGGACACGTCCATAGGACTGTCCACGTTGTTGGGGCAGAGCAGATCAAACGGGCTGTGGTTTTGCAGGATGTCCTCACCCATCAAGTTGTCCGCCTGCGTCACGCCGCTTATGTTATTGCTGTCACCATTGGCTGCCACGCCATTCAGCATTCTAGAAGGTTCCTCCCCTGCATCCCCACCCCAGCCAGGGTTTGTCAAGGTGTCGGGTTGATGAACATGTTCCCCTGTCTGCTGTGGTTTAGAACTCAAGTCTGCGCCCAACATATCAGCTTCTGTGTCGGAGAACAGGTCAATACTCTCAAGTCTTAGGACAGGCTGCGTGGGGGGGACCTCCCCTTGGGATACTGGCACCTCCCCGTGGGGGGCCACCTTCTCTATGTCAAAGTCTATCAAATTGTTGACAAACGCCGAAGTCTCCGTGTTCTCTTTTCCTGCTTCTCCGTTAACAAAATCACCCGAGCCACTGTCCCACCGCGGCTGGGAGCCAATCTGACCAACCCCAACCTCGTCTCCAACAACCACCTCCTGTTCCGCCGCCCTGGCCCCCTCCTGGGGACTGCCCAGCTCGCTGTCACTACTGAGACTGGGAGAGATCAAAGCGTCCATGCCAACAGCTGCCAGGTCGTAGCGGTCTTGGGACGTGCGGAACAAGTCAGACTGAAATGTTTTGGCCAGGTTGATGTGCCGCCTCGTCTCCTCCTCTGACAGGTCCTCCCTCTCCCCAGAGGACTCAGACTCAAGCCTAGCCCCAGAGAACTGTGCCTGGCCCTTGGAGGAGTTAATGTTTTCATCAGGCGTGGTGGTCTCCCCTGCCAGGAAATCACGCACTAGAGGGAGGACGCCTTTCCGTGAGATGTGCACATTTTTCTGCACGTATGCAGACACGTTCTCAACATGGCTGCTGAGGGTCAAAGGCTCAAGTTCAAGGTTAGGGTGAGCAGAACTGAGTAGGACATCAGTGAGCTGAAAGTAAATAAGAAACAGTGTCAATCATTGGCTGCATTACAAAAATGGTTTTAAAATTGGCCAATCATTGGCTGCATTACAACAACAGTTTTTAAAATAGGCCAATCATTGGCTGCATTACAACAATAGTTTTAAAATAGGCCAATCATTGGCTTCATTACAACAGTAGTTTTTAAAATAGGCCAATCATTGGCTGCATTACAACAATAGTTTTTAAAATAGGCCAATCATTGGCTGCATTACAACAATAGTTTTTAAAATAGGCCAATCATTGGTCTGCATTATTTAGATATTAGAACTGAGAGGAAAAAGCAATAAAAAATTGGTGTTTTGTCAAACAGAAAGATATCACTAGTACCATCAGCTGGCAATTAAGGTTAAATTAATGATCTATATTAACATTGACACGATACAAGTAATGTGTGAAGGAACTTTGTATATAAACCCAAGTAGACCCAGGGACGGATATAATGACCTAAGTATACACGTGTAAATTTTAAGGGCAAAGTATGTAAACCAATGGATGTAGACCCATAAATTTAGACTCATGTACAGACCCATGTACGCTGACCCATGTACAGACCCATGTAGCTGACCCATGTATTCTGACCCATGTATTCTGACCCATGTAGCTGACCCATGTAGCTGACCCATGTATTCTGACCCATGTAGCTGACCTATGTAGCTGACCCATGTATTCTGACCCATGTATTCTGACCCATGTAGCTGACCCATGTATTCTGACCCATGTATTCTGACCCATGTAGCTGACCCATGTATTCTGACCCATGTATTCTGACCCATGTAGCTGACCCATGTAGCTGACCCATGTAGCTGACCCATGTACAGACCCATGTACAGACCCATGTAGCTGACCTATGTAGCTGACCCATGTATTCTGACCCATGTATTCTGACCCATGTAGCTGACCCATGTAGCTGACCTATGTAGCTGACCCATGTAGCTGACTCATGTACAGACCCATGTATTCTGACCTATGTGTTCTGACCCATGTGTTCTGACCCATGTATTCTGACCTATGTGTTCTGACCCATGTGTTCTGACCCATGTTCTGACCCATGTGTTCTGACCCATGTATTCTGACCCATGTAGCTGACCCATGTAGCTGACCCATGTAGCTGACTCATGTACAGACCCATGTATTCTGACCTATGTGTTCTGACCCATGTGTTCTGACCCATGTATTCTGACCCATGTAGCTGACCTATGTAGCTGACCCATGTAGCTGACCCATGTAGCTGACTCATGTACAGACCCATGTATTCTGACCTATGTATTCTGACCCATGTATAGACCCATGTAGCTGACCCATGTATTCTGACCTATGTAGCTGACCCATGTATTCTGACCCATGTAGCTGACCCATGAACAGACCCATGTAGCTGACCCATATATTCTGACCCATGTACAGACCCATGTAGCTGACCCATGTACAGACCCATGTAGCTGACCCATGTACTGACCCATGTACAGACCCATGTACAGGCCCATGAACAGACCCATGTAGCTGACCCATGTAGCAGACCCATGTAGCTGACCCATGTAGCTGACCCATGTACAGACCCATGTAGCTGACCCATGTACAGACCCATGTACAGACCCATGAACAGACCCATGTAGCTGACCCATGTAGCTGACCCATGTACAGACCCATGTACAGACCCATGTAGAGACCCATGTAGCTGACCCATGTAGCTGACCCATGTACAGACCCATGTACAGACCCATGTAGCTGACCCATGTACAGACCCATGTAGAGACCCATGTAGCTGACCCATGTAGCTGACCCATGTATTCTGACCCATGTACAGACCCATGTAGAGACCCATGAACAGACCCATGTAGCTGACCCATGTAGCTGACCCATGTACAGACCCATGTAGAGACCCATGTAGCTGACCCATGTAGCTGACCCATGTACAGACCCATGTACAGACCCATGTAGCTGACCCATGTACAGACCCATGTAGAGACCCATGTAGCTGACCCATGTAGCTGACCCATGTATTCTGACCCATGTACAGACCCATGTAGCTGACCCATGAACAGACCCATGTAGCTGACCCATGTAGCTGACCCATGTACAGACCCATGTACAGACCCATGTAGCTGACCCATGTACAGACCCATGTAGCTGACCCATGTAGCTGACCCATGTACTGACCCATGTACAGACCCATGTATTCTGACCTATGAACAGACCCATGTAGCTGACCCATGTACGCTGACCCATGTACGCTGACCCATGTACAGACCCATGTATGCTGACCCATGTAGCTGACCCATGAACAGACCCATGTAGCTGACCCATGTATCTGACCCATGTAGAGACCCACATATACTGACTGCTGTAGATAGCTTGACCTACCTGGTCCCTAAAGACTGGGTTAGGAGAGAAGACAGCTATCCACCTGTCAGAGATTCCTGCGTCCCCCATGTAGCTGACCCATGTAGCTGACCCATGTAGCTGACCCATGTACTGACCCATGTAGCTGACCCATGTACTGACCCATGTAGAGACCCATGTAGCTGACCCATGTAGCTGACCCATGTAGCTGACCCATGTACTGACCCATGTAGCTGACCCATGTAGATAGCTTGACCTACCTGGTCTCTAAAGACTGGGTTAGGAGAGAACACAGCTATCCACCTGTCAGAGATACCTGCGTCACCCATAACTAGTGCCATGATGATGACGACATCAGCAGGAACTGACAGACAGAACTCGCTGGCGTCATGGCAGAACTCTGGACTTGTCAGTATTGTCTAAGGAAAAACATTTACACAAAATAAAAACCAGATAAAAACTCCATCAAATATTAATTTCTTTAGATGAATTAAAAAATAATTGTAAAAGCTATACTATTATGAATAAAAAATTCAGTTTTAAGTTTCAGGTTTCCATTAAAGTGGGTTACTGCCCCTGATATGTAGTTACCTCCAAGTTCATTGTAACAGTTGACATGGCCACCGTGATTTGTGTCCCTTTGAGGATCTTTAAATCTTTATTCAACATTTCTAGAATGGTCAAAGCTACAGACAAATTTAAAAACAGAGTTCCAAAATTAAAACAAAAATTTCACATAAAAATAACTGCTTTTATAAACATTTCTAACACACAGATTTTAATGAATTTAAGCACACGCAAAAAATTAATTAAAACAACAGGTATTTGTTCCACCCTGGCATTCTATAAATAGACTTACAGGACAAATCAAACTTGGATTGTTTGATCTCCTCAAAGATACTTGTGGCGGAGATGTGAGGCAGGAAGGATTTGAGTCGCACCTGCATCTCACGGTCAGCGGAGGTGGCGATTTTATCCTTGTCCGACAGGTTACATGTGTCAGTCAAGATGGCCCCTAGGATAATAAAGTGACATGTGTCAGTCAAGATGGCCCCTAGGATAATAAAGTGACATGTGTCAGTCAAGATGGCCCCTAGGATAATAAAGTGACATGTGTCAGTCAAGATGGCCCCTAGGATAATAAAGTGACATGTGTCAGTCAAGATGGCCCCTGGGAAAGTGACATGTGTCAGTCAGGATGGCCCCTAGGATAATAAAGTGACATGTGTCAGTCAAGATGGCCCCTAGGATAATAAAGTGACATGTGTCAGTCAAGATGGCCCCTAGGATAATAAAGTGACATGTGTCAGTCAAGATGGCCCCTAGGATAATAAAGTGACATGTGTCAGTCAAGATGGCCCCTAGGATAATAAAGTGACATGTGTCAGTCAAGATGGCCCCTGGGAAAGTGACATGTGTCAGTCAGGATGGCCCCTAGGATAATAAAGTGACATGTGTCAGTCAAGATGGCCCCTAGGATAATAAAGTGACATGTGTCAGTCAAGATGGCCCCTTGGATAATAAAGTTACATGTGTCAGTCAAGATGGCCCCTAGGATAATAAAGTGACATGTGTCAGATGGCCCCTAGGATAATAAAGTGACATGTGTCAGTCAAGATGGCCCCTAGGATAATAAAGTGACATGTGTCAGTCAAGATGGCCCCTAGGATAATAAAGTGACATGTGTCAGTCAAGATGGCCCCTAGGATAATAAAGTGACATGTGTCAGTCAAGATGGCCCCTAGGATAATAAAGTGACATTTGTGAGTCAAGATGCCCCCTAGGATAATAAAGTGACATTTGTGAGTGAAGATGGCTCCTAGGATAATAAAGTGACATGTGTCAGTCAAGATGGCCCCTAGGATAATAAAGTGACATGTGTCAGTCAAGATGGCCCCTAGGATAATAAAGTGACATGTGTCAGTCAAGATGGCCCCTAGGATAATAAAGTGACATGTGTCAGTCAAGATGGCCCCTAGGATAATAAAGTGACATGTGTCAGTCAAGATGGCCCCTAGGAGAGTGACATGTGTCAGTCAAGATGGCCCCTAGGATAATAAAGTGACATGTGTCACTCAAGATGGCCCCTAGGATAATAGTGTGATATGTGTCAGTCAAGATGGCCCCTAGGATAATAAAGTGACATGTGTCAGTCAAGATGGCCCCTAGGATAATAAAGTGACATGTGTCAGTCAAGATGGCCCCTAGGATAATAAAGTGACATGTGTCAGTCAAGATAGCCCCTAGGATAATAAAGTGACATGTGTCAGTCAAGATGGCCCCTAGGATAATAAAGTGACATGTGTCAGTCAAGATGGCCCCTAGGATAATAAAGTGACATGTGTCAGTCAGTACATGATAGAGATCACTGTATGGTTGGAAATTGGGACAAATGTGATCATGTTATAACAAGGCAACCAATGAGGTGCCACCTACCCAACAAGTCAACCAATAAGGTGTCACCTATCCAGCAAGTCAACCAATGAGGTGTCACCTATCCAGCAAGTCAACCAATGAGGCACCACCTACCCAACAAGGCAACCAATGAGGCGCTACCTACCCAACAACCAATGAGGCACCACATACCCAACAAGGCAACCAATGAGGCGCCACCTACCCAACAAGGCAACCAATGAGGTGCCACCTACCCAACAAGGCAACCAATGAGGTACCACCTACCTAACAAGGCAACCAATTAGGCACCACCTACCTAACAAGGCAAACAATTAGGCACCACCTACCTAACAAGTCAACCAATGAGTCGCCACCTACCCAACAAGTCAACCAATTAGGCACCACCTACCCAAAACAGTCAACCAATGAGGCACCACCTACCCAACAAGTCAACCAATGAGTCGCCACCTACCCAACAAGGCAACCAATTAGGCACCACCTACCCAACAAGTCAACCAATTAGGCACCACCTACCCAACAAGTCAACCAATGAGGCACCACCTACCCAACAAGTCAACCAATGAGGCACCACCTACCCAACAAGTCAACCAATGAGGTACCACCTACCCAACAAGTCAACCAATGAGGTACCACCTACCCAACAAGTCAACCAATGAGTCGCCACCTACCCAACAACCAATGAGTCGCCACCTACCCAACAAGAGTTCTGCCACAGTGGCATCCATGCTGAAGTCCTCAGGATCAGCGTCCAACATTTTCCTGGCCACTATGGAACTGCAGGAGCCTACAGGCTCAATCTCTGCATGCCAACTGGAACAAAGACAACACTTTCGTCAGCAACATGTATGGTATGGGCAGGGGAGGGTGGGGGAAACAGTGGGGCACAACCTGAAGCACTAGGAGGACTCATGTATTAAACAAGTAGGACCCATGTATTAAATCAGGAGGACCAATGTACTAAACCCCGGAGGATCCACTTTTAACACCAGTAGGACCCATTTATAACACTAGTGGGACCCACTTATAAAATCTCTTTGACCCACTTATTACAAACACCCATTTGACCCACTTATAACAACCATTTGACCCACTTATAAAAGCTGTAGGAACCTGCTGTATTCTAAAGATAATCCAGGTCTACCACGTTTTCCCCCAAAGTTTCAGAAAATGACCTCTGACCTTTTAGGTATCTCCCCATCAACTGGCCTGTGGTCCAAAGCCTCGACCACAAACTTCCTCAAACATTCCTCAGCCTCGCTCAGCACGTGATGGTCCACCAAGGTCACTTCTAGAGTGATGACCTCGCTCCCACTCAAGGCTGGTAGGTCAAGGTCGTCAATGAAAATGAGGTCGTCTGCTCGGATGTTGTGCTTGCCCAGGAAGTAGACGGTCTCCAGGTGGATGCGGAAGTTGCTCCGGCGTGTGCACAGGACGGGGAGGGTGTGGCTGCCCGGGCTGGACTTAGTCTGGTGGGGAACAGATGAAGATTTACATTCAGGACGGGCTGTCTGTATACAATAGGAAGATTTACATTAAGCACGGGCTGTGTGTATACAATAGGAAGATTTACATTCAACATGGGCTGTGTGTATACAATAGGAAGATTTACATTAAGCACGGGCTGTGTGTATACAATAGGAAGATTTACATTAAGCACGGGCTGTCTGTATACAATAGGAAGATTTACATTAAGCACGGGCTGTCTGTATACAATAGGAAGATTTACATTAAGCACGGGCTGTCTGTATACAATAGGAAGATTTACATTCAACATGGGCTGTCTGTATACAATAGGAAGATTTACATTAAGCACGGGCTGTCTGTATACAATAGGAAGATTTACATTCAACATGGGCTGTCTGTATACAATAGGAAGATTTACATTAAGCACGGGCTGGCTGTATACAATAGGAAGATTTACATTCAGCACGGGCTGTCTGTATACAGTAGGAAGATTTACATTCAGCACTGGCTGGCTGTATACAATAGGAAGATTTACATTCAGCACGGGCTGTCTGTATACAGTAGGAAGATTTACATTCAGCACGGGCTGTCTGTATACAATAGGAAGATTTACATTCAACATGGGCTGTCTGTATACAATAGGAAGATTTACATTAAGCACGGGCTGGCTGTATACAATAGGAAGATTTACATTCAACATGGGCTGTCTGTATACAATAGGAAGATTTACATTAAGCACGGGCTGTCTGTATACAATAGGAAGATTTACATTCAACATGGGCTGTCTGTATACAATAGGAAGATTTACATTAAGCACGGGCTGTCTGTATACAATAGGAAGATTTACATTCAACATGGGCTGTCTGTATACAATAGGAAGATTTACATTAAGCACGGGCTGTCTGTATACAATAGGAAGATTTACATTCAACATGGGCTGTCTGTATACAATAGGAAGATTTACATTAAGCACGGGCTGGCTGTATACAATAGGAAGATTTACATTCAGCACGGGCTGTCTGTATACAGTAGGAAGATTTACATTCAGCACGGGCTGTCTGTATACAGTAGGAAGATTTACATTAAGCACGGGCTGTCTGTATACAATAGGAAGATTTACATTCAGCACGGGCTGGCTGTATACAATAGGAAGATTTACATTCAGCACGGGCTGTCTGTATACAGTAGGAAGATTTACATTCAGCACGGGCTGTCTGTATACAATAGGAAGATTTACATTAAGCACGGGCTGTCTGTATACAATAGGAAGATTTACATTAAGCACGGGCTGTCTGTATACAATAGGAAGATTTACATTAAGCACGGGCTGTCTGTATACAATAGGAAGATTTACATTCAACATGGGCTGTCTGTATACAATAGGAAGATTTACATTAAGCACGGGCTGTCTGTATACAATAGGAAGATTTACATTAAGCACGGGCTGGCTGTATACAATAGGAAGATTTACATTCAGCACGGGCTGTCTGTATACAGTAGGAAGATTTACATTCAGCACTGGCTGGCTGTATACAATAGGAAGATTTACATTCAGCACGGGCTGTCTGTATACAGTAGGAAGATTTACATTCAGCACGGGCTGTCTGTATACAATAGGAAGATTTACATTCAACATGGGCTGTCTGTATACAATAGGAAGATTTACATTAAGCACGGGCTGGCTGTATACAATAGGAAGATTTACATTCAACATGGGCTGTCTGTATACAATAGGAAGATTTACATTAAGCACGGGCTGTCTGTATACAATAGGAAGATTTACATTCAACATGGGCTGTCTGTATACAATAGGAAGTTTTACATTAAGCACGGGCTGTCTGTATACAATAGGAAGATTTACATTCAACATGGGCTGTCTGTATACAATAGGAAGATTTACATTAAGCACGGGCTGTCTGTATACAATAGGAAGATTTACATTCAACATGGGCTGTCTGTATACAATAGGAAGATTTACATTAAGCACGGGCTGGCTGTATACAATAGGAAGATTTACATTAAGCACGGGCTGTCTGTATACAGTAGGAAGATTTACATTCAGCACGGGCTGTCTGTATACAGTAGGAAGATTTACATTAAGCACGGGCTGTCTGTATACAATAGGAAGATTTACATTCAGCACGGGCTGTCTGTATACAATAGGAAGATTTACATTCAGCACGGGCTGGCTGTATACAATAGGAAGATTTACATTCAGCACGGGCTGTCTGTATACAGTAGGAAGATTTACATTCAGCACGGGCTGTCTGTATACAATAGGAAGATTTACATTAAGCACGGGCTGTCTGTATACAATAGGAAGATTTACATTAAGCACGGGCTGTCTGTATACAATAGGAAGATTTACATTCAGCACGGGCTGTCTGTATACAGTAGGAAGATTTACATTCAGCACGGGCTGTCTGTATACAATAGGAAGATTTACATTAAGCACGGGCTGTCTGTATACAATCGGAAGATTTACATTAAGCACGGACTGTCTGTATACAATAGGAAGATTTACATTCAGCACGGGCTTTCTGTATACAATAGGAAGATTTACATTCAACACGGGTTGTCTGTATACAATAGGAAGATTTACATTCAACACAGGCTGTCTGTATAAAATAGGAAGATTTACATTCAACACGGGCTGTCTGTATACAATAGTAAGATTTACATTAAGCATGGGCTGTCTGTATACAATAGGAAGATTTACATTAAGCACGGGCTGTCTGTATACAATAGGAAGATTTACATTCAGCACGGGCTGTGTGTATACAATAGGAAGATTTACATTCAGCACGGGCAGTGTGTATACAATAGGAAGATTTACATTTAGCACGGGCTGTCTGTATACAATAGGAAGATTTACATTTAGCACGGGCTGGCTGTATACAATAGGAAGATTTACATTCAGCATGGGCTGTGTGGATACAATAAGATTTACATCAGAGGCGTAGCGACCCTTCCCGGCGCCCGGGGACAAACTTTCGATTTGCACCCCCCCTCAAACTTTCGATTTGCAACCCACCCCCTCAAACTTTCAATTTGTTTTTCCAACCCGTTTTGGCACCCCCCTAAGGTCGGCGCCCGGGCACATATGTTCCCCCCGCCCCCCCCCCCCCCTCGCTACGCCTCTGATTTACATTCAGCAGGGTCTGTCTGTATATTATAAGACGATTTACACATATAATTTATATAGAAAATATATACTTTTAACAGTGTCCGCTCCCCCCCCCCCCCGTCCCCCGAAAATTTCAAGTGCCCCCTCGGAGAAAAAAGTCTGGAAGAAACTCTGGCTGTGCGGATAGAGTAGGAAGATTTACATTCAGCATATGCTGCCTGGATCAAATGAAAAGAATTATATGAATGACAACAACAGCACACCACGGTGCGAAACGCTGGGAATTCCCAAAAGATCCAGCACTTCACTAAAATTGACTGACATTGTCTTCAAGGTCACATATATTTTGATTTGTGATAATCGTAAGGTTGACAAGACGGCGTTTTTCTCACGATTTACAGAATACAGTTGGCAGCACAATACCGTATTCTTGCACCAGACAATATTTCTGCACCAGACAATATTTCTGCACCAGACAATATTTCTGCACCAGACAATAGTTTTGTACTAGGCAATATCCAGTCAGCAGAGATCATCCCTGTAGCACTGAATATATTAGCACTAGAGGACATGGAGCCCAGTCCCCCAAGAAGACGTACAGTGAAACAAGTCAGCACCGTGAGCCACACGTTCTACCGTTTTAACTCTCTACAGAGGGAGACACAACGGATGATCGACAGTCTAGCGGCCTATTCAGGTCAGGCGTTATACTCGTCCCATACTCTGCTACACCTACTGCCCTCACTTCTGCATTATCGGATGCCCTAAATACTGTTCAAGCTGATACCCCACATTATGCCCCCAGATGCCCTAAAAACTGCCCCATATGATGCCTTACATTGTGCCCCATCTCATGCCCTACTATCTGCCCAGGTTTAAACAAGTTGCTAGCCCATTTGATGCTCTATTATCTGCCCAGATTTAAACGAATTGCTGCCCCACTATCTGCCCAGGTTTAAACAAGTTGCTGTCCTATTATCTGCCCAGGTTTAAACAAGTTGCTGCCCCATTTGATGCCCTATTATCTGCCCAGGTTTGAACAAGCTACTGCCCCATCTGATGCCCTATTATCTGCCCAGGTTTAAACAAGTTACTGCCCCATCTGATGCCATATTATCTGCCCAGGTTTAAACAAGTTACTGCCCCATCTGATGCCCTATTATCTGCCCAGGTTTAAACAAGTTACTGCCCCATCTGATGCCCTATTATCTGCCCAGGTTTAAACAAGTTACTGCCCCATCTGATGCCCTATTATCTGCCCAGGATTAAACAAGTTGCTGCCCTATTATCTGCCCAGGTTTGAACAAGTTACTGCCCCATCTGATGCCCTATTATCTGCCCAGGTTTGAACAAGTTACTGCCCCATCTGATGCCCTATTATCTGCCCAGGTTTAAACAAGTTGCTGCCCTATTATCTGCCCAGGTTTAAACAAGTTGCTGCCCTATTATCTGCCCAGGTTTAAACAAGTTGCTGCCCCATCTGATGCCCTATTATCTGCCCAGGTTTGAACAAGTTGCTGCCCCATCTGATGCCCTATTATCTGCCCAGGTTTGAACAAGTTGCTGCCCCATCTGATGCCCTATTATCTGCCCAGGTTTAAACAAGTTGCTGCCCCACTATCTGCCCAGGTTTAAACAAGTTGCTGCCCTATTATCTGCCCAGGTTTAAACAAGTTGCTGCCCTATTATCTGCCCAGGTTTGAACAAGTTGCTGCCCTATTATCTGCCCAGGTTTAAACAAGTTGCTGCCCTATTATCTGCCCAGGTTTGAACAAGTTGCTGATTGAAAAGATAGTCCGCTACGCCAGAGAGTTGCCCAGCTGTAATGAAGTGGTCATCGACTCGCTGATCTTCACGGCCCAGATATCTCAGCGG